GGAGTGTTTTGTTTTATGGTCTCGCAGAAAATTTCACAGGTATGTATTAAACGAGTCTTATCGGTTATTATGCATGGATACAGACTTACTATACCATTGAGTACATCCATATTACGTTTATTTGTTCATTTTGTGTCCTGTAATTAAAATAATGCGATTTGAAAAAATATTGATACTGCTTTCAACTGGTATAAAAATCCCAATATGGACAGTTGTTGCTGCCTAATTATAAAATATTCCATAATTGAGTCTTTTTCACAAATTAGGTACTTGTTATTATTTCTTTTAAAAATTATGTGTTATGCTTGTTTTTAGATTGTCAGCTTCACTATCGACCAATAAACGAAAAACCTTTGATAAAGAAAAAATGGCAGAAGCTATAGAATTTATCTCGGAAAAGAAAATGGGATATTTGAAAACAGCTCAGAATTTTCAAGTGCCTAAGACACCGTTATTTCGTTTGTGCTAAAAAGATTTAACAGGCTCCAGAATGGGGTGACTTACAATATTGAGCTCCAAACCCGAAGATCAGCTGGTAGAATACGTATTAATGATTGATGATGAAGAGCAAATTTCACGGTTTGACAAGAACTGATCTTCGCTGTATGGTGTATATGCTAGCAAAGAGAAACAGTTTGTAGAATTCCTTAATTCAATTAGATATAGCTGAAAAAAAGTGGTTTAAGTTATTTCTAAATCATCATAAAGAGAAACTTTCGATACGAAGAGCAACTGCTACCTACATCTTTTGCCAGAGTATTTGGATTTGATAAGGAAACAGTGCTTTTTTCAACCGTAAAGAGATTTACACTAAAAATAACTATTTTCCAAATCGTATTTACAACGTAGATGAATCTTTATGGATCGATCCCTTATGACAATAGTGGTTTGCATAAATTTTCCAGGACATTTTGTGCCACCGTTTATTATTTTGACCAGAAAAAATATGAGTGCTCAGCTAATGGGAGGCTGTCAACCAGGATCAGTCGGGGTAGCACATCCACCAGGGTGGATTCAAATGAATATCTTTAAAGAGTGGTTCAAATACTTCATTTAACACACCAACCCGACTCCTGAATCGAAGGTTTTACTGATTCTAGATGAACGCGATAGTAACACTCGATATAGTAGACATCGCTAGAAAAAAAACGTGGACATCGTTTTCTTAAATCCACATACAACTCAAAAACTGCAGCCGTTAGAAAACACTTTTATGGGGCTTACATTAGAAATAATAGCAGAGCTCTAACTCCATATGATATCGCGGAGTTGTTTGGAAAATCTTATTTGAAAGTACAAACAGACGAGATTGCAGCCAATTGTTTTAAGGTCACTGCATTATGGCCTTTAAATAAAGCTGTGTTTAGCTTTTTGATAATGCTGTAAGAGACGGTTGTACAACCAACATCACTGCACTGGAATCAGGATCTGAACCTGCTTAGGCCCAAACACAAATACTTGTACCAAAAACAAGTGCTAATATACAACCTGAATTTGTACCTTAGACTTCAGGGATTAATCGGAACACTCTACGTCAAAATAAATTAGCTAAGAAAAAAAAAGTAAATAGCAAACTCCAAAGAGAAACAAATGAACAAAGAAAAATAAGAATGATTATAAAGAAGAGAACTTTGAGGAATAGGACGGTATCCAGTTTGATGCAGATAGTGAGCCTGATTAGTTGTTGAGCCAAGAAAATTTGTTTGCCAAAGACTTTTTCCACGGATAACAGTGGAGAAAACTGGATTAAGTGCATAATGTGTGGGCTCTGGGCTCATTATGATTGTACTAGTCCAGACTTGTGTAAGTGAATTAAACTACTTCTTTTATTTTTCACAATTTTGTGCTCGATTTTATTTTTTTAATTAAGATATTTGATAGAAGGCTGTTAATTACTACACAAAAATGTGAGAGTGATCTGTAATATCGTCTATCCATCTCTTTTTAGGTCTTCCCACGCTTCTTTTTGTTTCTCGAGGTCTCCAGAATGTCACTTTCTGAGACCATCTGTTGGTGTCTTGTCTTGCTACATGTGCTACCCATTGCCATCTCAATGTCGCTATTTTTCCCATGATGTCGGTTACTTTAGTTCTCCGACGTATTTCGGTGTTAGGAATTTTGTCTCTGAGGCTTATATTTAACATGGCCCTCTCCATGGCCCGTTGAGTTACTCTTAATTGTTCTGCCATTTTTCTTGTTATTGCCATAGTTTTCAACCCATAAGTTGCAACTGGTAGTATACAAGTGTCATAGGTTTTTCGTTTTAAGTGAATTGGAATTTTTCTGTCTTTTAAAATGAAGCTCAATTTACCAAAAGCAGCCCATGATGATTGTGTCCTTCTTTTAATTTCTAGGGTTTGATTTTCCTTTTCGTTTTTAATTGCATGTCCTAAATATATATATTGTTCTACCTTTTCTATATTGATGTTATCTATCGTGATGTTTTCTAGGCTGTTGCTTAATATCTTTGTTTTGTCGAGATTCATTTTTAATCCTATTTGATTCGATTTGTGATTTAAATCTTGTAGCATTTAGTTGCTTAATATCTTTGTTTTGTCGAGATTCATTTTTAGTCCTATTTGATTCGATTTGTGATTTAAATCTTGTAGCATTGATTTTAGTTCATGGATATCTGTGCTTATTAGTACTATATCGTCTGCAAAACGCAAATGGTTAAGATATTCTCCATCTACTTTTAATCCATTTTCGGCCCAATTTAGTTGTTTGAAAACATTTTCTAATGCCAAAGTAAATAATTTGGGTGAGATGGTGTCGCCCTGTCTCACACCTTTGCCAACGTCTATTTTCATAGTTTCCAGATGATCATCTATTTTTACGTGAAAAGTAGCATCATCGTATATATTCTTAAGAAGGGCAGCATATCTTGAATCTACTCTGGCGTCGTCCAATGCTGTTAAGAAAGCGCATTTCTCGATACTGTCGAATGCTTTGTGATAATCGACAAATGCCAGATGTAGTGGTATGTTGTACTCTATTGTTTTTTCAATAATGGTCAGAATTGTTTGCAAGTGATCGATAGTGCTACCCTTACCTACCTACCTCCCTTACGAAAGCCTGCTTGCTCCACTAGTTGGTATGCATCTAGTTTAGCTGTCAATCTATTTGTTATTATTCGGGTTAGTAGTTTGTAAAGGTGTGACAATAATCTTATTGATCGGTAGTTTTCTATATTTGCGGCGTCCCCTTTTTTATGGAGTAGAATGACTTCCGCATTTTTCCATGTCTTCGGTATTTGTCCTTCCAATAGGCATTTATTAAGTAATGCTCTTATTGCCTCTTCTAATGCAGTGCCTCCCATTTTTAGTATCTCTGAAGTAATTTTATCTTCTCCTGGTGTTTTCCCATTTTTCATTTGTTTTAGGACGGCTCTAATTTCTGATGTTATTATTTCAGGGAAGTCCTCTGAGCCCACATTTAAGATATGTTTTGTTGGTAGACCGGGTTCGAAATAGTAGAAGTATACAGCTTCTCATAAAATTTTCGGATTTCTCTAACGATCTCTTCCTTATGCGAGCACAATGTTCCACGGTCGTCTTTTATCTTTATGATTTTATTCCTGCCAGTGGATTTATATGTTTTTAGTACTTTCATGTTCTTATTGTTTTCTATGGTTTCAAGAATCTGGTTTGTTCTATAAACTCTATAAACTCCATAAACTGTCTTTTGGAATATTTTTCTTAACGATTCTGTTGAGCGCTTTATAGTCCGGGTTATCTCTGTTCGTTCTTCTTCTTTTCTCTATCTGTTCTAGAGTTTCGGGTTTTAGTTTAGCTTCCTTTTGTTTTTTTATTCTGCAACAAAGTTTCTTAGCGACTGTTTGTATGTCTTTAGTTATTTTCTCAGCTAGTTCATCTATATTCTTGTGCTCAAAGGTATTTGCTACTAGTTTTCGTGCTAATTCCTCTTGGTATTTCTCTTTATTACTGGCTAGGATGTCTGCCGTCGGTAAAGGGTTTGTTGTTAATAGTTTTCGTCTTTCTCTCTTTACGTTAATACGTATATCAGCACGAACTAGTCTATGGTCACTGCGATGGATAGACGATATAACTGCTGTAGCTGGAAAGCAGTGGATGAGAATTGCAAAAGATAGGGAAGCGTGGAAGCAATTGGAGGAGGCCTATGTCCAACATTGGATAAATGAAGGCTGAAGAAGAAGATCTGTAATGACATTAAATTTTTTTCATTTCTATAAAGTTATTTTTTATATCTCCAAAACAAAATGGTATTCCATAATTGGTGACTTTCCTCTAAATAACCAGTCGCTTTGATATTTATTATTTAAAATATATATTGATGTCAGTGTTTAAAAGTATCCGTAGTAAAAAAAAAAGTCTAAACTCCGCTTATACAATTTTGGGCTTTATCTCGATAATAACTAGCTTCCGAAATAGTATTAAGAAGCAAAAAAATGTGTTAATCTAATCGTGTCACAATCATAATCTACTTTTAACGTATCGTATACACAATGGGGTTTAGGGGAAAATATTTAATGATTGCACAGTTTTTGTTTCTTTTTTGGAAATATATCATAACTATTTGAATCCAATTTTTTTTCACATTTAGTACTAAAGAAATATTTGCTCAATGAAGCTGTTTTGGCCCTAGAATATGTGAGTTAGTTTATAACCTTTTTGTTACACTCTTTATATTCAATATTTGATCTAAAATATGGAAAGAGAAGACCAAAATATTTGCTTTTAATTGAAGAGCTATTTAAAATGATACACTTACTTATTACGATGATATCGCGACTCTAATATATCTACATTGGCCTTTTCTTTAAATAAATCATATTCGAACATATTTTACTTCTATTCTACTCTATTTCTAATATTTCTAATTCTATATTATAATACCCGCATATTAGGCCAGCCTATAAAAGGTATTTTTAACTGGTAGTACAACATGAGTGCATCGGCTAAACTGTCACACCTACCTCTTAGATTTCAAGCGTAATAAATCCATAATAAACTTCTTACATTCCCCAACAAGATTGAGATTGACAGATAAAAACTTATTGTCTCCTGAGTAATGGACTGTTCTCCATTTCGTCGATTTGGAAGAGCTATCGTAGTAGCTTTCTCTCTCTGTCCAGGCAGTATGTTCCCTTCCTCGGAATTTACATCTTATACCTAAAACCAATAGTTACCTGTAGTACCGTTAACAGTTAATTAATCTCTTACCCGATATTAAAGACATAATATCAGGTAAGAGATTTTTTTGTTTTACAGATTTGTCACATGTACTCTAAGCATTGAATAAAAACTACACATACAATGTAGAGTAGTTTTTAATCAATGTTATAAGTTTAATAGCAACGTAAATGTGTAAGTAATAATGCATGTATGACTACTGAAAATAAGCTGGGTCGACAGAGTAAGAAATGAGGAGGTCCAGACAGCTGAACCAAACAACACAACTGTTCAATATAATAAAGAAACGCAAGCTGGAATACTTCGTCATCGCACTATAGTTAATTTAGCTGTTCACCTTGTGAATGGACAAGGACTTTATTTCACGAGACAAAACGTAACGCAAAGAGCTGAACGACCGCTAACGACAAGTTGAAAAGTTACCTTTTTTTAGGAAGTCCACAACACATATATATATATATATATATATATATATATATATATATATATATATATATATATATATATATTGTTAGGCAGATATAAAGTTTAGCAATAAGCTATGGGTTCTCGCTATCGAAGATCTATAGAGACACTTTGTCTCGGGTTAGCAACCCTTATGAATCTTACACTGTCAAAGTAAATCTGTTTAAAACAATAACATCATTTAAATTTTTCAACAAATATGTAATGATTAGCAGAGTTAACATAATTTAAAGGGTTTTTATCCACATGCTTAGTGGCTTCACTCATGTACCTATATAAATAAAAGTATGTAGCAAAATACTGTAAGAAATGTAACGAATTAAAAATAATGAGATTGCAAAATACGCGGCTAGAGGAAACAAAGAGGATTATGCACAAGAGAGGCACAACGAGAAAACTCAATGATGGAATCAGCCAAATTCCATGCCTGGAAAAGAGTAGAATATTAAACAAGACGTAGATCCAACAAACAAATGTAAAGAAACAAGTACCAAATACAGTGTAAAGAATTTTTATCAGAAGTAAAGATTTGATCGTCAGGAAAGTGTACAGAATAAACTTCGCCAAGCACTCCCACCGCTGAGTTCCACTTCTATCGATGCGCGCTAAAGGAGGTGGAAGGCCGGCAAGTCGAAAACAAGATTAGCCGCACGAGAGAATTGAGATCTATCAGAGTGTTGATCTGGGAACAACTCCACTGACCCTAGAGTGTTAACTGAATTTCAACCGCTTCTGCTAAAGATTGAATAGTGGCAGTTCCTTACCAGTCTTAGAGTGTTAATCTGACAGAGAAGTGTTGATTAGTCACTTCCTGCTCCTTGTCGGATTGAGTTTTGATTAATTCGTCCACCTCTAACCCAGACCATTCCTTTTCGTTAACGAGTGAGCCAGTGTGTATTAACAATCCGTATTTTAGTTTGGTTTTTGATAACATTAATTATATTTTATTTTTCGATGTAGACTGATATTTCAATTGTGTACATATTATCTAGGACGTAGTTTTATTTTGTTATTTATTTGCCTCGAATGTCCTTTTATTAAAATTAGACTCAGTAAAACTAGAGTTTTACTGAGTCTGCTGTCTATGATATGTGCTGTGATGCCACGACAGGTACGTCGTGGATATACCGTCTTTCCAAAGTGGAATTATAGCACGAAGCCGCAAAAGTGAGCTTAGATTCCAAAGGAACCGCTGAAGGTCTGAGATCAAGGCTAACAAACTTTTTTTTAAGTTTTTTTAAAATCTCTTTCGGGTTATATCACAGAACATTTTCGGATTAAAAAGCCCATCGTTAGTGTTTTATTACTCAGTGCACATGAGCTAAGCCACTAAATACCTGCGTAAAAACCCTTTAGATGGTACAGACTTGAATATGTCTTACATTTTATTTAAAAATATATTGTGATGTTTGAGTATTTTCCAAATAACCTACATGGCAACGTAAGACTGGCAACGTAAGACTCCCACTAGGGGTTGCTGCTGACCCTCAAATGATGTCTGAATGGGTTTTGATAGATGATAGTTTTTAAACGGATGTGAACGATTTTATTCATCATGACATGAATGTTGAAACTGTTACAGAAGCAATCGCCACTCAGTGTAAAAACAACTTTAACAGACTAGCATCTCATCCAAATTCACTTGCTAACGATCTCCTAATGCCACCACTGCTTAGAAGACTTAAAAATTGGATACTCTAGATCTCTCCACCGCCAGAAACTAGATAGAAGTTTATTTAAATTGTAAATAGTTGTTTGTATAAAAGTAAAAAAAAATGTTATGAAAACTAAAGGTAAAGGGTGATTCACCAATGGGTGTAGCTCTCACTGTGTTTTTCTGTCTTTTAAACATATTGTTTATTGCTATATTGATAACAGATTACAATAAAGAAAGGAAGTTAAGAAAATTTGAAACGAATATCGTTTTTTATTATTTTAACTAGTGTCATAGCAAGTTACAAATTATTGTTTTACCGTCAGACCCTACTATACGGACGAAGACAAAGGATACATTCTAGCATCCACTTCCGAATCAGATGCAAACGAAGACAATCTTGCCTTGATACCGCTGAAGTAGTTTTTAAGATTTACAAAAAAAAGTCACTTCCACCCTTTCACCATACATATCGATACAAATGCAATATAAATATTTGTAAAAAAAAAGCAAGAACTTTTCAAAGCCTTCTATGATTTACCGTCATATGATTGCATTTTTATCATCATGACACCTTTACCATCAACACCTTCGAAAGAAAATTTAGCACAAGTATATTTTTACTAAAAAAGCGTGTTTACAAACAATTTTTTTCTAAAAACATTTGATAGACCCACTGAAATATTTACATCTGTATGTGATAAAACAAATCACCTTGGTATAGCTGAGCCAGACAAAAAAGGAAAAGGACAAACTAACAGGAGGATGGGAAATGAGCAATGAACTTTTATAATCAATCATATCAAAAAGTTACATAGTAGGGTTTAGTTAGCTCTTCATCAGAAACGTAAAATGCCATAAACAGGAAGAAAAGCGATATCGAGAAATACAGACTTTTAACAGATACAGTAGTGGTATGCTTTAACTTAACAACAGTCTCTACCAACACCACTCTTAACAGTACCCAAAGTATTTTATCTGAGATAACCTTGCTCATACAACTTTTGTATTTACAACCTAATAATCAATGAAGATCACATGTATGTATGGTCTGAAAATATAGCTTCAAGGGGCTTACATTTCACGTCATAATGAACAATGGGCGAGCGCCCACCAAAGTGGCAAGTAGCAAGTAGCACGCGTCTAACATAATGTAACCAATCCAAACGAATGATTCAGTTTACACCAAAATGACATTAACGTCATTCATTCTAATCATTCGTTAGGATTGGTTACATTATGCTAGACGCGTGCTACTTGCTACTTGCCACTGCCACGCCACTTTGGTGGGCGCTCTCCCTAAGTGATTCAAAACAGGATGTCGATAGACATAGTTTGATATTTATTTATTCATATCCTAATATAAAGTCCATTTTATTTAAAATATGAAAAAAATTAATGTAATTTTTTTCTCGATATTCAAATTTTATTTTTTTTATATTTCATATTCATTTTATATTTCATAAAAAATTTTGTATCATAAGAAGAAAAGTAGATCCACTCTATACTGGTCACGTATTGCTGACTTCAAACAAAATTTTGGGTAGAGTGAAAAAAAATATTCGTAAAAGAAGAAAAGATTTTTAAGTAACAGGAAAAATAAATGTAGGAGAATAATGAAAAAGCACTTTATAAGCGTTTTGCACACGTTATTCGAATTATTAATTCTCGAGAGAAATACAGAAAAGAAACTAACAAAACCAAAATTTCTCTATAAAAAACCAATTAAAGAAAATAGTCAATTTAAAATGTTGAAATTAAAAAGATACACTGAAGCTGAACTTTTGACAAATATTTTACAAAAATGCCTACTAACCTCTAAAGCTTTCAGTAGATGTAAAATCACATACTACTCTTCCATATACAATATCACCTGGATGGTAGGTTCCTGGATTACTTAGTATAATCCTACAGCTCATTTTTCTGAAAAAAGTAAGAAAATTATGTTATTCTTAGCACAAAATGTTGACAACATATCTTAGATGATTAATACTAATAGTTACTACAGGTGTTAAATGGGTAAATCCACTAGCCTTGAAGAAAATTGTAATTATAATAGAAAGGGTTCGTTCCAATTATAACAATCATATATAATATCTGAGAGTATTATATTTTTAACATTTAATAAAATCCTTTATAAAAAGTATATAATTTAAAAACCCAATCGAGCTATATCACAATAACAAAACGTTTTCGGAATCAATGTTCCATCATCAGTGTCTAGGTGTACATGTATTAAGCCACTAAATATCTGGGTAAAAACCCGTTAAAAGTTATATGTTTAAATTTAGTTACCTAATGTGATCTTATACATATATTAAGATGTTAAAGTTACCACATGAAGTTGCAACTTCATGTGGAATCACGATTACAGCTAGATACTCTTCCACAGCGGTTATGAGCTCATTAATTGATGAACAACGCTTTCCATTAGGGGCAAATATGGTGGACAAATCTGGCGAATATGGTGGATATTCTAAAAATTTGAACTTTAATTCATGGACTTTAGTCATTGTCAAAATGCTCATATGACACGGCGGATTGTCCTGATGAAAAGGATTTTTTTCTTCTGCAAATAGGGTCTTTTTCACGAATTCTGTCCTTCAGCTAGTTTAAAAGGTTACAATAATATTCAGAATTTATTATTTTACGAGTTTGCGAGTAATACAGAAAAAATTCCTTACATAATTCCCAAAAAACTGATGCGAACGCCTTCCTGGCCGATTTCTGGTCATGAACTCGTTTCGGAGCTAAAGAACCAGGTTCACACCATTCTAGCCTATTATTTTGATTCAGGATCATGGTGATAGACCAAAGTCTCATCCATAGTGATGGATCCATGCACAAAATCCACTGTAACCTTTCGAAAACGCTCTAAATGTTGGTGAGAAAGTCAAATTCGAATGTGTTTTTGTTCCCTTGTCAGCAAATGCTGCACCAGTTGTGAACACAGCTTTCTGAAACCTAATACTTCAGTCAAAATAGTGCTTGCACTTCCCAATGGGCCTAGGGCTTCTACTAAATATCTTTTAGTCACTCGACGATTTTCCAATATGTTATCCTGTATTTTTCTACGATTTCTGGTGTTGTTGATGTTTTTGGATGTTCTCGACGTGTCTTTAAGGCTTATACGACCACGTTCAAACAGGACCGAAAATAATGTGCGAATTAGAACAGGCAATTAGAAATGCAAAGACCGCAAAATCAGTAAGCCTAGATCAGATACCCACTGAGCTAATTAAATGCATTGACGAAGAAACACTGCATATACTTTTAGATCTGTTCAACAAAGTTTATACAACAGGAGTAATACCCCAAGATTGGTTGCTGTCCACGTTTGTAACACTACCAAAGTCAGTACATGCGACAGAATGCTTCCAATACAGAACAATTTCCTTAATAAGCCGCACACTTAAGATATTTCTCAAAATAATATATGGAAGACTATACAAAAAAATAGAAAAAGATATAGATGACACCCAGTTTGGATTCAGAGGAGGACTAGGAACGAGAGAGGATCTGTTCGCTTTTAACGTTCTCGCGCAAAGACGACTAGATCTGAACCAGGATCTCTATGTCTGCTTTATAGATTATCAGAAGGCTTTTGATAGAGCACATCAGAAACTCGTAAAACTGTTAAAAGAAAAGAATGTAGATAGTCGAGATATACGGGTTATTGTCAATCTGTACTGGAATCAAAAAGCAAAGGTTAGAATCGAAAATGTCGATAAAGAAACAATAGAAACCAAAAGAGGTGTTAGACAGGGTTGCATGCTGTCCCCATTATTATTAAATCTGTACAGCGGAGCTATTTTTAAGGAAGCACTATCAGAGGAACAAGAAGGTATATCAATAAACGGAAAAATCCTAAACAACATAAGATTCGCAGACGACACCGCTGTTTTTGCAGACAGTCTAGAAGCATTGCAACGCTTAGTAAATAGATTACATCAAGTCAGTATCAAATATGGAATACAAATGAACGTTAAGAAAACCAAGTTCATGATTATTTCCAAGCAACATACAGTAGGAAGGCTAGATATCGAGGGAAAACAAGTAAAAAGAGTAAATAACTACAAATATCTGGGAACCTGGGTAAATGAAAACAATGACCAAGGTAGAGAACTAAGCACACGCATTGAAATTGCGAGACAAGCATTTATAAAAATGAAAACAATGTTTGTCAATCGAGACCTTCCTCTGGATCTGAGGATAAAAGCCTTAAGATGCTACGTGTTCTCGACTTTGTTGTATGGAACGGAAAGCTGGACACTAAAAGTGGATGATATAAAGAAGTTGGAATCATTTGAGATGTGGTGCTATAGAAGGATTTTATAAATACCATAGAGTAAAGGTTAAATATGAGCAGATATAAAATAGATCACAATTAGCTCTATGTATTATTTCCGTCTTGTCAGTTTTTGTTGAGAATTTTCATATGCAATGTTACATTTTATTTAAAGAATGTGTCATAAATTAGTCAGGTATACACTGGAAAGCCAAATTAGTTAAAATGTAGAAGTATGGTGTATAATATGGTTTTATAGTTAACAACTATTCCACAAAGTCAACTACAATTCCACAAAAACAACTATTGCCAACGAAGATTATTGCTTATGAAGATAATATCAGAGAACTATAGTTCTCTTATAATATCTTCCGTTTTAAATCTAAATAAACAATATTTGTACAGCGTTCGATAGAAGCGCTGATACTGAAATTGTTTAAGCAATTCATACAAACTTTTGACAACTACTGTGAAAACAACATTCCATCGAGTGGTAAAATTACCGTTTATTACTTTCATGGATTAGGGATCAAAGCCCAGATCAATTTTTAAAATTTTTTAAAATGTGAGAGAGATCAGGAGTGTGAAGAAGATCCTTGTTTTAAGCTTTTAATTAGCATATTCAAGGAATTGGTTCCGCGTTTGGATTGATATGGAGAATTGATTTTGTACAAAATACTGTGTTGCGTGGACTTCTGGAGGATTTTGAAGGTTAATCTATAAAAATACACTGATACACCGATAAAAAACACTGATCTGCATATACCACAAAAAAAACGATATCCTTAAAAATTGTTTTCTTTAGTAAAAACGTGTGGATGTTAACTGTAGCTAGGTCCTCACCTACAACAGGTATCGTTCTACAATCAGATTGGGAAACCACAGAAAAACTATTTCTCCCCCTGTCCTTTATGTGCTTGTTTGCGACTCTTAAGGACTAAGAAGTATAGCGAGGTACCCACTTTTCGGAAGATAGGTTGATTCGTAGTTGTGGTATATATGACCGACGAGTAAGTGTCATCTGACCAATGCCAGACTGCTTTAAGAAGTCCAGAGGCCAGAGCCTCATGAGATCCTTGTTTCAGAATCGGGTGGACCCAAAATCTTCTTTTTTTACACTGCCGGCGACGGCGGTAATAATACAATATCGCAAGCGTGTTCACGTCCATCACCTCTGAATTTTTGTTTTAATCTGGCAAATATAATATACCGCCCATTGCTCTACCGCAAAAAACGGGATGCAAACTACCGTGTGTGAACACACCAGTGGTTTTTACGGGATTCAGTAAAAAATCACTCCTGCAGAACTGGACGTCCGTGTGAAAGTTTATTATCTCTTAGGTTTATTTTCCAACACTGAATGTGTTGTTATTGAAGTGGCGTTTTAACAGCGAAGGTTTTAGACACTGGTTAGAAAGAATTTCCGAACAGATTACACATTGGGGCCTTGGCTCATCATTTATATTCGTAAATGTAAATTCCATATTAATGTTTTCAGGATCATATTTCCTAACTGCCACTTTTAGTTTTTTGAAAGAACTCTTTTTGTTATTACCCTGAATAGGCTCTGAATCCGAAAGTGGAGCTCGATGGACCGGGCTTTTCAGATGTTCTGTTGTCTCTTTTAAGCCACTTATCCATTTTTTATATTCAAAAATTAGCACGAATCACGAACAGCAAATTACTCGTTTCGAAAAAAAAACCAACCACAACGACTGACGGCGACGAGGAAACGTCGAGAAAACGTGATGTCGTGAATGGACGTGAATCAAGGGCAGTGACAATTTACCGAGATTCCGGTGTTGCCAACAAGGAATAAGACATTACACGCTTTTGGTTTCAAACTCACAGTCATGCACAACGTAAAAGATAACATTTGTTAGTAAATTATATTATTCTTCGTTTCTTCTAGTTTATAAAGTACCACCTTTAAGTGCTTTGCGTACCACCAGTGGTACGTGTACCACAGTTTGAGTACAGCTGTTCTAACATAATACTTACAATTAATACATTGTACATAATATGTATTGTATACATATAGTGAACATGATCCGTAATATTTGCAATTGACACTATTGACTAAAAATTCTTCAAAAATCTATATTTAATATTAATTCTTAATATGTATGTGGAAAATGTTACATTTTAAAGCCAATTCAATAAGCAATAATTTACTTATTCTGCAGAGCATAGCGTAAGACATACTTGTCTGACACAATACAGCCTAATTTCGAGTTTTTTTCTTTCTGGCGCAATAACTCACAAAAAAACGATAGAAAAAGACGAAATTTTTGGCCGACATCTCGATTTTCCCGTGGTGACGTTTGCACTAGGGGATGATAGGGTAGCCTTTAGAAATTGGTCAATGTAAAAATCAGCAGTAATTAATTAGCAATAAAACATGCCACCAAGATGGACTCTATAGCCCTTTTCATTGCCGAGATATATCTATAAACATTCGGAAATAAATTAGGAATCGGTTCCTTGCGGTTCGCCTTAAGGCCGATATCTCGGTTTTTCGGGGGTGTACTGTGAGCTAGGGGATGATAGGGTAGTTTTTGGGGATTGGTTAATATACCGCTCAACAGCAATTAATTAGCAGTAAAATATGTCGCCAATCACAAGTCACTCATATTATGCTTAGTATAAGAAAAATTCACGTGGCACGTGCCCAGTGTGACACATATGTTTCGCACGGGCAGTGAATGTGTTAACAATATTTCTAACTTCTTCTTTCCAATTAATCTTATTTCTAATTTCTTCTTCTAACTTCTTGCTCTATAAGTCATCCTTCCGTCTGTTTTCCAACCTCATAATTTACTATCGTATCTGCAGCCGGCTAGTCTTCGTTTTTCTTAACACCTACGTTAATATGGTCTTTAATTTCTGATGAACTGTCCTCTTCTAGCACAAAATCGGGATCTTGATCGTCATCATGAGTTTGATTTTCCTTATCGCTTTGATCATCACTGTCAAAGTCACTCAAATTATTTATTATTTTCTCAAGCTCAGCTTGGGTTAAGAGTTTTTGGTAACGTTTGGACATTTTAGTGTTAATATACTTATTCTGTTAAATAACGAGTACAAAAACAACAAATACATAAATAAACAACCGTCGCGCTTCGACTAACTCTGATTACTTCAGACTGAGTGCCGCTCCGAGCTAGTCTCGTATGTATTAGATCGTTCAATAAGGTTATAACGGTACTTAAAAGCCTTAATTAGTGCTAAAAATTAAAAAACAATACATATCAAAATATATAATGGAAACTTACAAGTTCTCTTTCGTCCACAATCTTTCGAGTCTTTGGTGTTTTTTTTAGATAGAGATAGGATAGAAAGATTTTTGCTATATTCCAAGGGATGAAAGAGCTGATGGTAAATAGAGATATTGCATAATATTCTTGGACTTGGCTCCTATACTCTGAATATTCGTAAGACAAAATTAACAATCTATAACATGGTCTCTCGGTTCCCTCCATATCATTGGTACTGCAAAGAGCATTTGACGTTTTGTGGCTTTTAACCAAGATGTTAATAATGTTACACAAGTCTTACAAAATATATGAGGGGCCATGATTAATATTGATGTCCTACTTTAATTCCGAAATAAAGTTTGTATGCTCTACATACAAGTAAGGTGAGACTAAGTTTTTCTCAATTACATTCAGAAAGAGACGAACTGTCATTAGAAATCACCGAGGATACTGGACCACCAATATTAACAGAAGAGGTCATCTATGCCATCAAAAACACAAAAGAGGGTAAAGCTACTGGACCAGATGAGGTGCCCATCGAATTATTAAAACTCATCGATGAAGATGTTATTGATGTAATGGTTGAAACTCTTTAATCTAATATATCAGGACTGCCACAATCCCCAGACAATGGCTGCAATCAACCTTTGTAGCAATTCCCAAAAAAACCAAGTTCAACACTTGCTCAGACCACAGAACAATAGCTTTAATGAGTCACACACACTTAAAACATTTTTTGAAAAATAATTCACAAGCATAATTGTTAAAACTCTTGAATATGAGATATTAGTGACACACAATTTGGCTTTAGAAATGGTATGAGTACAAGAGATGCTTTGTTCGGCTTGAATGTGCTGGCTCAGAGATGCATGGACATGAGATCAGGATATGTACTTTATGTTTTTGTAGACTTTGAAAAGGCATTTGATAAAGTTCAACATAAAAAGCTTGTAGATATATTAAAAAGCAAAAATATTGACAGTCGTGATCTCAAAATTATATCAAATTTATTTTGGAATCAAACTGCCAAGGTAAGAGTTGACAGCCTGTACACCGAAAATATCAAAATACAGAGAGGAGTCGCCAGGGTTGCGTGCTGTCCCCACTACTTTTCAATGTCTACAGTGAAGCGGTATTTCAAGAAGCGCTCTCAGACTCAATAGAAGGTATATCTATCAATGGAGAAGTTTTGAATAATAGATATAAGGGATATAAGGTTAGAACTACGCCTGAGAATGCTTCGATGTTACGTGTTCTCTACTCTTCTTTATGGTCTGGAAGCTTGCACACTCAAACAAGTTCATCTGAATAAGCTGGCCGCCTTTGAATTTGGTGTTACAGAAGAATCCTACGATTATCATGGATTCAAAGAATGTCTAACATGGAAGTAACTAGAAGGATAGGAAATGAGGCGGAAATAATATTAACTATTAAAAGACGAAAACTTGAGTACTTGGGACATGTGATGAGAGGGCAAAAATACGCATTATTACAACTTATTATGCAGGGCAAAATCCGAGGAAAGCGAAATGTGGGAAGACGAAGAATATCCTGGCTTAAGAACTTAAGGGAATGGTTTGAATGCAGTAGTGCAGAACTTTTTAGAGCGGCAGTCAACAGAGTCCGCATAGCCATGATGATTTCCAACCTTCGATAGAAGATGGAACTTAAAGAAGAAGAAGAAGTTTTTCTCTGAACTGTGTACATCTTGCAAATAATAGAAATAAACAGATTGAACTTGTCTTAAACTAAGATATTTGCCCTGCGAAGACAATATAAACAGTTGCGACGTGGACCATTATTGATATCTCACTTATTTACCTATTTTCAAGATATAATTGCTGGTTACTTATTATTGGTGGCTGATAAACACATTTTGTTATTAATTTTGATTTTAGAATGCCGAAACATATTGGAAATATCACAAAAACTCCATGTTACAAAATGTGTGCTAACCAGGATATTTAAATCCTTTATATTAGTAGATTGCATTATAATAACATGCCACGTCACAACAAATTTTGCAACTATGAAATCAAAACGTGATAGGCGGTCACACGACTTCAGACGACGATTTCAGAAGGAAACAGACGGCAACCATAAATATTTGCAATGTATCTATGACAGGTAGTCGACAGAACGAAAGGGGTGAAAATCAGTTCGGCTTTCGTTTGGAACTTAGGTACCGAGATATACTATTTCGCCTACCTAGTACCTATTGTTTGAAAAATGTGACCGATGAAAATACTTGGTATAATTTTGTAAGTACATAAACGTATGTCATTTTCTATCATGAAAAGGGATCTGACCGAGTAAAACAGGAAAATCTATTAGAAAGATTAACCTATGAATTCGTCTTTGAAAGGAATTATTCTGTTATCTACTAGTCAACATCTAACAAGGCACATACTGATACAGAGAGGATTACGGAAGGGTTGTGCACTTTCTCCTCGTCTGTTCAATATGTATAATCAGGTTAAATCAACGGAGTCGATGTAAACTAGTTGTGGTACACAGATGACAGCAGTTATTACTGATGAAAGTAGTGAATACTTGCAAAAAATAATGCTAATACAAGCAAAAGCGACAAACACGAACTAAAAATAAATCCAACTAAAACAAAAGTGATGCTCCCATATGCAAACTATATATCATCATCATTATCTTTGCCTTTATTCCTATGTGGGGTTGGCAGAACTGTACCAACATATCTCATCGTTCATTCCTTTGTCCCAATCCAAAAGGTCCTTCACCATGATATACTGCTTCCTTTCCTACTTTGGCATTCAAGTCGCCGAGAATGATTTCATTTTTTTTTTGCTTCATACTGTTGGTAACATTTCGCAATTCTTCGTAAAAGCAAGTAAAGTTTCGACCTCTGTGTTTGCTTTATCTGTCATAAGGGCATATATTTTGGTTATATTTATATTAATCGGCGTGCTTTCTATTTGTAGCATACTTATTCTGTTCGATGTAGGTAAGTAAGTTCTCTAAGTACTTTAAACAAGAAGAAATATTATTTTAGGATACCAAACCCCGCATCTTCCATATAAATACCGAAAGTTTATTAATTATAAGATTACAATTTTATAAATAGCTGAAATTTGACAGATAATAGTTAAAAAATCAAATGAATCATTTTTGATAGTGTTTTCCATCGTACTCGATATGTGTAGTATTTGTTATAATTTTTAGAAATTATCAAAATTTAATTATCTAAATAATTACCATTAAATAATATACTATGATTTAAAAATAAACAAGAATTGGTAATCAAAAAAAAAATATTTTTATTTATTAAATAATCCTTCCCTGCCGCCTGTGATTTTTCGATTATCCACATGATCAGGAAGGAAACAAAAACAAAATAAGTAACATGTGGCCTTGGTGTAACCTCGCACTCCATCGTACCTCCTCTATATAATAATATTTATCACAAATAAATACCGGTAAGTATGTTCAGTCAATAAGAAACCAATGATGTATTGTAGTTATTATTGATTTATTTACAATCTATGACCCTGATTCTATAATATAAAATATTTATTAGTATTTTGGAGACAATAATTTGATTCAGGTGACATAAAATATTAATATCTTATATCTTATTTAAGAAAAGTAAAGTCTCAATAAATACAGATTTCGAGCGGAAAGTACTTAATAATAATTGTAAATAGTAGCGTGAGAAAACTATTGTTATTTAATAACACTTGAAGCGAAACATTCCTATTTTATAATCAGACAGAATAGAGATAACTTACCGCAAATATTTATCATCAGTTACTTAACCGCAGTGATTAATAGAAAATTGGAGGAATGCACTTGCACAGAACAAACCGCAAATAATTAATAATGTAAACAAAAATTATATAAGTTTAAGTTTGTTAGCTGGGCGTTCTAAACTCAAAAGTAGGTCCGTTATCAGAATTCACGTTTCCAGCGAGTCCGAATTTTTTATGCTGTAAAGCCTTGAAACGACAGCATGGCGCCTGATTTGTCTGGTACGTGTGATCAGGAGCGCCGAAACAAGGTATTTATAAAATGTTGCAATTAAATTAAATTATAAAAAAAATATTAAAATTAAATGAACTGCATATTATATTTTAAGATGCCACTTTTAACAATTTTTTTATTTATATTTATTCTAAATATAAATAATATATTAGTACAAGTGAAAGTAAAGATATTAGATACAAAATAAAATAGGGAGCACTACCATGATTTAGCGCCATGTTTTTTAGAATTTTTTTGCTAATACGGTATTTTTTTTAATCTTAGCATTTTATGAACAACCAGAAGGTGTACGTGTAACTAACTTTAATTTTGTTTCATTTTCAAACTGATTTTTTTACGAAAATATTTTCTAAATATCTGACATTTTTAATCCTTCGACACAACTCTAGTTTTTAGTGTACCTAGTAAATTTATTGGTAAAACACTTTCGTGGACAAATAGATTGATTTTTTTTAGCCTATTTGTACCTCAATTGTTATAAATATACAAAAAAAATTTTGAGTCATCAAATCTCCTGTTTGAAAATAATGCTTCGATAACAAACCGTTGGCGGAAGTCAATTTCGAATCCTGGCTGGTCACGAATTTCAAGAGAAGCACACCACAGATCACCTACCTCCCTAGATGTTCCACGACAATACTTTAGTTGGATATGAAATTCAGCGCTCCATAAGATTAGTATCGGAACTAATTCAAGCGAGAAATTACGCGGGAAATTCAAATTTTAATTTTGGTGGGAAAATTTAAATAAAGTTTAAAATTTTTAAATATAATTTGGTATATTTGAAAAAAAAATGGATGACATTTTTAATTTCAAATATACACAATACAATTTAGGAAAAATAAAACAAAATGTAATTTATTTATTTATTTATTATACTTGTAAAACAACTTTGTAATTTAATATAGAATAAAAATATGCTATTATCACTGAAAATTGTACAATTTTATGGAAAAAGCTTACAAAAAAGTCAGAAAAATAGCAATTGAAAATTTACTGAAATTACATAAATCTTCAATATCACAAAATAAAAAATAATAAAATACACAATGTATTGCAAAATTTAAATAAATTGCATAATAAATCCTTACGAACTAATACATTTTAATACAAGTTTCTGCATGTGATACTCAAATATATATTTATACAAATTGTTTAGTTACTTGTACATAACACTATTCGTTAAGAAACTCTTCTACTGAATAATATGATCTTTCAGATAGATAGGATTTTGTTCTTTTACGGAACTCAAGGAAAGAAGTTGCAGATTTAAGTTCATCAATCAGTTATTTGTTCTCTAATATCAAATATTTATTGGACTCACCATACAAATGTAAGCTAGGAATTGCATTTTTATACAATTTATGACTCCATGAAGAAACAAACTTATCTTCAAAGTGTCTGTGGCAGATTCGTTTTGTTTTATAAACTGTACTAGCATTCATCATATCTAAATTAGGATTATTTATAACACTAAGCCACTTCCTAAATCGTGTAATGTCTTCATCAGGATTTGGAAAGGTATGACGAACTAGTACATTGTAGGATACAACATTTATTGTGAAAAACCATATTTAACTGATTATTATTAATCTGCAAAATACTATTTGAACACCGCCAGGAACATTTAAAACATAGATCACTGAGGTAGGTGATTTGTAATTTACAAACTAACAAAATCAAAATATAGACGTCTAATATGACAATTGGCGATTGACAATTATAATTCTTTTCTTAGTTGTGTTCTAAAACCTAAACTGCAGAGTAAAAGTAGAGACAGAGTAAAGCGACATCTGAAGATTAGTATCGGTACTACAAATGACATTAAGTTTAGTTTGACCTTGAGCTACCTACGTGAAACGTCTAGTTATTAGTGGTCTGTGAAGCACACGCAGTGATTTCACTGCTCACACGTGTCTCCCTTTTAATGGGATATTTCTTTATTATATTTGTTACAAAGACGGATATTCTGGTATTCGGTATTAAGTTTTGTTAAAATAAACCCTAAAAGGACTCTAACTTTATTGGAATTACAAGCCGAATTAAATAATCTCAGTGATAATGGTGATGGGGTCGCAAAAATAGCTATAATACCTACCTATAAAAGAAATGATGGATGATGATGTTGTAACAGGTAACCTATTCGCTATTTTTAGTTTCAAAGCATCTATTACGTAACGTTGTAGGTGACAATGAGATTCGAAAGATTGCCAGTACCTTTTAGATTTCTGCTAAAAATACCGTTCTACTGTAACCTTCCACAAGTAAATCTGAAGCTGTCGGCTTTAAAGAGATTCCTACTAAGGATTCATTCGACGTCGAACTTACAACAAGCAAATTAAATAAAAAACGTAAAATATGTAGGGTGACAACTCAATATGGTCTACAAAAGCTGCTCCGATATTTTCGTCAGCACCACAATCACATGAAATTGAAATAAGGATAGAAATTGAGAACTGTGTCGCCGGAAAAACCTCTTGCGACTTTTTCCAACTATTCCTCGATGATGAAGTTTACAACTTTATTGTTAATTATAATAATTGCCAAGCTTTTCAATTGACAAATGCATCATTGAAAAGGTTTTTTGGAATACTCATTCTTACAGGGTATCACAGCTTGTTACAAATAGATATGTGTTGGAACAAGTACCAGGATAGGAACGTGATATTCATTAGGAACTGCATGAGTAGAAATAAATTTCGGCGTATCAAAAAGTAAATTCATGAAAGTGATAATACGGTGTTACACAAAAATAATAAATTTTCAAAACTTCGCCCCTTTCTCAAAATATCGAATCGAAAATTTGGTACTTTGGCCTAATTTATCTATAGACGAAGAAATGGTACCCTATCTTGGAAGGCACTCTGCAAAAATGTTTATAAAGGGGAAACCTGTGCGTTTTGGGTATAAGTTATGGTGCCTCTGTTCATCTAATGTTGATGACCTATTCCAGTTTGAGCCTACGGTGGTGTTAGCACAACAAAATTAGATTTTGGCTTCTGTGCTGAAATAGTATTACAATTACTAATCCCTCTGACCACCGGGTATTTTTTGACAACTTCTTTTCATCTTATAAGCTGTTTTCAATAGTGAAAGAAAAGAGAATTTATGCAACTGGCCCAGTATGAGAAAACCTAATTGAAAAGTGTCCACTGGAAACATCTAAAATTATTTCTAAAAAAGACAGAGGGTCGTTCAAAAAAAGCTAAAGTGTCTGTAGTTAGATGTAATGACAACTCAGTCGTAACAATAATCTCCAATAACTGTCCGGTCTATCCCATAGGTTTTACAAAGAGGTACGATTGCAAGCAGCGCAAAGAAGTAAATATATTTATACCGAATCTTATACAAGAATATAATAGATGTATGGGCGGCCCTGACTTTCATGACAACGGCATAGCGAATTACAGAATTGCCATACGAGAAAAGAAATGGTGGTGGCCACTTTTTAAAAACGTAATTGATAGTTCCACTGTAAATACCTAGAAACTTTACAGATTGGCAAATAAAAGCTCGATTTGACAAATGGATTTTTGGGTTATATATTATTGTTTGTCTAATGAAATCGGAAGACTAACAACAAGAAGAATCAAAACATAATGAGAGTGAAGAAATGAAAAGTCAGTATCAAAGAGTAAAAAAGTTTTTTTTACGAATGTTAAGTTTATTTTATCCTACTTAATAAAATATATTACATAATATTGTAATATTTCTTTGCTTGGAGGTTAATGGATTAGACAAGTTATTATAACAAGTGCCGTTTATATAACTGCTATCGTTCAATACAGAAACCAGAAAAAATACTAGTACCTATCGATTAGAAGGCAAAAAAAAATTTGTCAGCTCCTTTATTAGATACGAACATGAAATATCAGAGTCGAACATGATTTTTAAATATTATTTTATTTTTGAATTAAACAAAATGTTTTTTTAATTCCCATGAACTAAAAAGATGGCGCTAGAGGATTTTAGAGGGCGCCTCAGTTAACCTCTCAAAAAAAAGAGGTCCGATGACGGACACCTCAGCGGATTAATTCCAACCGGATTACTTAAAAAAAGCGCCCTTACAAGACAATTAACAACTTTCTAAAAAAAAAAGTCGAAAAATTAACTTTGACATGCAAAAACTGCTAAGAAAAATAAATTATTACAACTTTTTCTTCAAATTTTCGCCATTTTGTTTTTTATTTTAATTTTCGATTAAAAGTTGTTGATTGTAGATATTCTGCGTTCAAGTAGTCGCTGCGAAAAAGTTATTAGTTTACTTAAAAAATGCTCTGTAAGAGATCATGGGGTGTAGATCAAAATATTGCATTGAATTTTTATCGAGCCTATATATAAGATCTGTTATAAATTACGGCAGTTTATTTCCGAAGCACACATGACTAATAAGAGCCATTTCTATATTTCCAAATATTCAACCTATGTAACTTAGCATCCATTAGGTGAAGCCCACGGAGGTACGGCAATTATTATAAAAAATAACATTAAGCATCATGAAATAAATAAAATAGTAAAGTTAACATCCAAGCCATATCAGTGTCGGTCGAAGATTCACAAGGCCCGATTATTCTATCTGCTGTTTACTGTCCACCGAATAAAATAATTAAAGCTGATCATTTTACTGAATACTTTAAGATGCTCGGACACCGTTTCATTACTGCTGGAGACTTTAATGCCAAACATCATAAATGGAGTTCCAGAATCATAATCTCACGTGGACGAGAATTATTAAAAAGTATTAATGAGAATCACTTAATTCCTTTCTCTACTGGAGAGCCTACGTATTGCCCCACTGATAGACAAAAAATTCCTGATCTTATTGATTTTGCTATAGTAAATGGAATATCACATACCTACCTCCAAATTTCTCCTTCATTTGACATCTCATCAGATCATTCCCCTTTCTTCATAGATCTACAAAACCAAATTCATAACTGTCGTAAACATTTAACACTCTCTAATAACAGAACAAACTGGAACAGATATAGAGAAGAAATAAAAACATC